GGATATTTTCCCATTGATTCTTAGAGAGAGTGGAATGGAGAGGAGAGAGAGAAACATTGACGTGAGACAGACACATTGATGGGTTGCCTCCTGCATGCACCCTGGCCAGGGAGGAGCCTGCAACCAACATTCGTGCCCTTGACCGGGAATCGAACCCGGGACCCTTCAGTCCGCAGGCCCACGCTCTATCCACTGAGCCACACCGGCCAGGGCCACAGAGGAATTTTTAAACCTTGTTTGCAGTGGATGGACCGCCCTTCGCCGGAACATTCTTTTTGCTCTCCGGCATCCTGGAGGAATTCTCTGATTTGCGCGTCCTGTCCACCCACGTGGTCATTTCTGGGAACGGAGTCCCTCGGGCACTGAAGCACTTTGTCAGCTCAGGCTGCCAGCACGAACCCGCAGAGTGGGCGGCTCACACCACAGAAATGCGTGGTCGCAGGGCGCTGGAGGCGGGGAGCCCCAGGCCCAGGTGCCGGCTCCTTTGCCCCCCCCCCCTCCCCCCCCCGGCGTATCGGGACGACACTCTAACCAACTGAGCGACCGGCCAGGGCCAGGATCCGGTACTTGTATTACTGTTACTGTTAAGCATATCTTTCCTTCTGTTTCCTGAAGCTTTTGTTATAGTTGCATAAGAGCTTCAAAAACTCTTACGAGTTTAAATTACAAATGTCTCTTGAACTGGAAACGTGTTGCCCGATGTTCATCTGCATCCCTTTGATATCACATCAGACGGAATTCACAAGGAGGAGCCTTACACGGCTCCTACACACGCTGCTTCCGGTCGGATCAGTTCAGAGAAGGGAGCGCTTTCTCCAGGGACGCAGAGGGAGTTCTTCCCGGCGAGGACGAAAACACCGAGAGAAATCAAACGAGAGGAATCGCGAGACAGGGGCCCCGCAGAAACCCCAGGGAGGACCTGCTTAGCTCAAAGCCTGCGTCAAAGCTCTGGGAGACAAAACCCGGTCACTAAATGTTTTTCAAAACATGGAGATGCGTTTGTTTCATTTAACATTTCCATTAAAAATACATTTTTGTCCTGGCTGGTGTGGCTCGGTGGTTAGAGCACAGGCCTACGGACTGAGGAGTCCTGGGTTCGATTCCGGTCAGGGCACGTGCCTGGGTTGTGGGCTAGATCCCCAGTGTGGGGACAAGCAAGAGGCAGCCGATCCGTGATTCTCTCTCATCATTGATGTTTCTATCTCTCTCTTCCTCTTTGAAACCAATAAAAATATTTGTTTTAAAAAAAGCTATCTCTGTCAACGTCTACTGATTCAAGAGACCTCAAGTTTAAAAGGTGCGACCACTACTAGAATAAAGAGTGCCTCATTCAGAGTGATCTCTTCGTGTTTATACCTGGATCATGTAGGACAAAAATCAATCCAATGAATGTTCCGGATTCCTGCCCCCAAGAATTACAAAAACTTTGCTTGAGTAAACGTGAGATACGAAGCCAGATCTGATGCAGGCTCAGATGGGGACTGCCTCTCCCTGGGAAACGGAATGTAGATGCCCACACGAAGGGTCCGAGCCCACCTGGTACCAACAGCATCCGATCGTATTCCAGTGGCTTGAAGGAGCATCGATGGGAGGTGGGACAGCCAGCTGGACTCGGGGCACACAAGGGGAAGGCGTCCCTCGAAGAAGAAATCGGCCGCCATCGCTGCCCCTCCTCGTGCGGGCCCTGCGCTGCCTCCCTGCTAAGCCCTTACCCGCCTGTTGCTCGGGCTTCTCACTCGCCTCGGCCCCTCCTGGGCCTCAGGTTGAGGTGGCAGCATCTTAGGATATGGGTCTCCACCCCCTTCCCACTGGGAGCTGAACGGTGCCAATGCCTGACCAAGCGCAGCCCACCCGACTCTCATCCCGGGGTCAGATCACCTTAGTTCTTCGTGGCCCTGACTTCTGCCCAGACTTTTGGCTCCGACCTTCACAACCTGGTGCTCACGTCTAATGCTCAACTCACCCTGTCTGGTAGCTTAGATGGTATTTTGCATAAAAAGAATTCTAGCCCTGGCCGGTGTGGCCCAGTGGATAGAGCGTCGGCTCCCGGACTGAAGGGTCCCGGGTTCGAGTCCCATCCAGGGCCCCTTCCTCGGTGGCAGGCTCTTTGGCTGGCCCTGCTGAAGGCACCCAATCCGTGTGTCTCTCCCCATCCCTCCCACCCGCTCTAAAAATCAATGGAAAAATATATATCCTCCAGTGAGGATTAACCCCCCCCTCAAAAAAAAAAAAGCAGCCCTGGGTTAGACTGTCTCTGACTCCAGCTAATGGCTGCGGGGTGCTGGGCTCTGTCCTCGTAACGTGTCCACGTCTGCCCAGCACCACCTGCAGCCTGGCCTCAGCTCTCCGAGCCCCGCGGGGGGCTGTGCAGCGATCGATCGATAATAACCGGCGGCCTCTTGTGGATGGACGTGAGCGGAATATCAACTCCGACTTGGGGAAGCGTGGGAAGAGCATCGTGATCAGACGCCTGGAGCCCAGCCCGCCTGCACCCCCGGGGCCGTCCCAGTCCCCTCTGGTGACTCAGCACCGACCCCATCCCGGGCACGGAGGTGTCACCTGAGGCGGGGGAGGGGTGTCTGGACTTGCAAACGCGTGGGAGGCGGTGGCCACCAGGAGATTTTTCTGGGCTTTGGCCCAGGGAGCTCTCCAACAACTTCAGTCTGTGAGTTTATTTTTTTATTGATTTGCGAGAGAGAAAGGAAGGGATGGAGAGAGAGAGAGAAAGAGAGAGAGAGAAAAATTTGTTTTCCTACTTATTTATGCATTTGTTGGTTGATTCTTGTTTGTGCCCGGCTGGGAATTGAACCCGCAACCTTGGTGTATGGAGATGATGCTCTAACCAACCGGCTACCCGGTCAGAGCCAGTCTGTTTAATACATGAAGTCCCTCCTGTCCTTTTTAAAATATATATATCTTTTTATTGATTTCAGAGAGGAAGGGAGAGGGAGAGAGAAACATCAGTGATGAGAGAGAACCATTGATTGGCTGCCTCCTGCACGCACCACACTGGGGATCGAGCCTTGACCGGGAATGACACCGTGACCTCCTGGTTCATAGGTCGACCCTCAACCACTGAGCCACACCGGCCGGCCTGTTCTTAAATCTCGCCCCAGTCAGAGCTGTGCTGTCAATCATCCCAGGTTACATGGAAGTGACTCCCAGATGTAAACAGAGGACCCAACCCCAGGACCCACTGTCCCCAAAATTCCGCGTAAACCAACACCTCGCCGTGGGCGCATCACGTCCCCCTCTGGGCCAGCTGAACCACAGCTCAGGAAGCGGCACGGCGGCTCTGTTTTTCCTTCTTATCTGTCGGGCCCCTCTCTCCCTTTTGGAATATCTCATCTTTTCACGCCACGCGTTGGAAAAAGTAAACGGTAACTTGGGGGTTCCGGGCCTGGCTCTGTGGGAGAAGGAAAATGCACTGTGCATTTGGGGCAGAAAGATGAACTGAAGTCTGTCATACGTGTAATTGTCTCCTAGGAGACCCAAGCATAAATCATCACCATGGAGACCGCGTGAAGCCATGAGCATGGATAATCCCCGGGGCCTTGTTTGGGGCAAGAAAGGCTGCAAATGAGAGCGGCCAAGCCTCGCAGGCGATGACCAGGGTGGGGGGGGGCGGCTCCCGGCCCGGCCCAGCAGCCTGTGGGCGACCGCATGGCTGTGCTCCTCACAGGCCTCCTGCCCGACAAGGAGGGGACCGTCACAGCAACGCCACGGCTCCCGAGAGAGCGGCCGCTCAGTCCACAGCCGGGCTTTGGGGAGACGCCGCCCAGAGTCCTTCCACGGTCTGACTGAGAGTAAGAGAACTAATACTCGCAATAAAATAAACGTTCCCTTCAACACAGAGAACGGGTGCCGTGTGTTAGGAGCCTGGGGTACAAGGTCTACATCTTATTTTATTTATTATTTTTAAAAATATATACTTTTTTATTTCAGAGAGGAAGGGAGAGGGAGAGAGAAACAGAAACATCCATGATGAGAGACAATCATGGATCGGCTGCCTCCTGCACGCCCCCCACTGGGATGGAGCCCAAAATTTGGGCATGTGCCCTGACCGAAATCCAACCCGGGACCCTTCAGTCCGCAGGCCGACACTTTAGCCGCTGAGCCACACTGCGAGAGCAATAAAAACATATTTTAAAAAAATAGTTTGATTTGTGGAAGAAACTGGGCCACATGCTAACCTGACAAGCTCAGGGAAGGCCTGCGGGGCAGCCTTGCAAACTCAGACCTAAAGGCACCACCAAGGATTAGAAAGCGGGGTGTGGTGGGCAGTCCCGTCCTAGGCCAGTATCTTCCCTGCAAAGATCAACTTGGGCCTCAACTGAGCCTCCTGCCTTTGTGCATCCAAGTTAGCACACCTTTGGAATGTCGGGGTCACTTCCCCTTTTCCGGACCCCTCAGGGCAGAACCAATGCACCAGGGCAGAGACCACAAATTCCCTCGCTGTTACTGTTACCGTGTTAACTGTTGACTCTTAACCGTCCTGCATCCACCTAAGGGAAAAAAAAGACCAAAAGGACACCAGTGGAGATGAGTTCGAACATGCGGGTCAGTGGGATGCACTGCGGGGGGTGGGGTGAGGGGCAGGGGGGGAGGGGACTGGCTCCCCGTTTTCTCTGTCACAGCCTTCAGACCCGGTTACAGAGAACTGTCCCCATTTTACAGGCCAGGACACTGAGGCCCACAGAGGCCGGGTCACTGGACCAGAACTACCCAGACAGCACGTGGAGTCTGGGTCCCACCTTTCCCATCCGCTGTGCATCCAGGCTAGACCTGCGATCAGCCTGGAGCTAAGGGGCGGGGAGAGTTCCGGGGGACTCACTGAGGAGCAGGTACGAGTGACTGGTCATCGGCAGCTGGCCAAGACCTCGACGTCAGTCAGCGCTGCCCTGCACAGAGGGGCTGCCACGGGAGCCTGACTGGGGGTGGGGGCGGGGCTCCGTGCTCAGCCTCCCCGCGAGAGGCATCCAGCAGCCCACGATGCCGCACCTCGGCCTCTGAGTCATCGCCCGCCGCGCGGCAGTGGAGGTGATGTTAATCCCATCTGACAGCGCGCGTGGTCCAACCTGGAGAATAGAAACGGTGAGTCACCACCCTGCTCCCTAGACCATGCGTTTAAGAAAAGGGGGGCCGGGTCCCCGTCGAGCTTCGTGAGGTCAGCTTCCCCGCCTGCCTCCACCGAGCTCCAAGGGGTGGGACCCCCTCCTGGTGCCTCTGTGTACACTGGTGGGGGCCCCCCCATGCACCCCGGCATGGCAGAAGCTCACAGAACGGAATGAGTAAGCGTCAAAGATATTCCTCTCGCCCTGAACGGTGTGCTCAGTGGTCAGATCCCCGGCCTTCGAACTGAAGGGTCTCAGGTTTCAATTCCCGGTATCGATGTCTCTCTCTCTCCGTCCCCCCTTCTCTCTTCCACTCTCTCTAAAAACCAATGGAAAAAAATATCCTCGGGTGAGGATTAAAAAAGAGAGAGAGCCCAGCTGCTGCGGCTCAGTGGTTGGCACAGACCTATGAACCAGGAGGTCGCGGCTCTAGTCCTGGTCAGGGGCACGGACCTCGGCTGCAGGCTCCATCCCCGGCCCTGGTCGGGGTGCGTGTAGGAGGCAACCAATCGATGTGTCTCTCTCGCATTGATGTTTCTCTCTCTGGGTCTCTCCCCCTCCCCTCCACTCTCTCTATAAGAAAAAGCAAGAAAGACACGAACAATTGTTAAATCTGCTTGGAGCGAGGATTCAGCCAACCACAGCCCATGTGCCAGTTCCTATTCATAATCGAAGAATGGATTTCACCCTTTCCGATGGCTGGAAAAAAATGAAAAGAAGAATGTTTTCTGGCGTGTGAAGATGAGACGACGTTCCAATTTCAAGGTCCATAAATAAAGTTTTATTGGAGCACAGCCACGCGCATTCATCTGCATACAGTCTGTGGCGGGTCTGACGCGATGGGCAGTGCTGGGCAGCTGAGATAAGGCTGCGTGTGTAACTCCCAGAGCCTGAAATACTTAATACCAGCCTTTCACAGGGAAAAAAAAAAGTGCCAACACTTGACTTGGAATATATGCTGATGCGTATCGTTATTGTATAATTACTTCGACTCCCCTGTACACGGCAGACTCTTCCTCACAAAGAAATCAGCTTCGCAATCCACACGCAAGTTATCAGGGAACGTATTTTTTGCAAATGCATTAAAGGCGAAGACATTGAAGTTCAGAGAAAGTGACTTGCCCAACACCCCCTAGTCAGTAATGCGATTTATACCAATATCCAAGAGTATAATATACCAATATTAAATTTATATGGAAAGTAAAAGGAACTAGAATATCCAAAATGATTTTGAATGTTTTTTAATATGATTTTTAAAATTGATTTTACAGAGAGAGGGAGAGGGAGGAAGAGGGAGAGAAACGTCAATCAGCCTGCACGCCCCCGACTGGGGATTGAGCCCGGGCCCAGGCATGTGGCCTGACTGGAATCAAACAGGTGACGCTCAAGCAACTCTCACTATTTGATTTTAAAACCAAAAAGCTACATTAATCAGGACAGGGTGGCGTTGGTGAAATGGTAAACACAGAGAACAAAGAAATATAGTCAGAAAGTCCAGAAATCCATCCATGTCTGAAGAGATGGCCAACACCTTTTGACAGAGGATTACAAAGTTAGATTCTCAAAAAATGGCCCTGGAACAACTGTACATCAATATGCAAAAACAAAACAAAACAGACAGACAGACACACTCAACACCCTCCGCCCACACCCCGCTGCTTTGCATCTTCTACGAAAATTACGGAACGTGGGTCTGATTTGGGGTTAGGCGGAGGTTTCTTAGCTACAATATCAAAAAACGCAAACCATTAAAAACCAATTAATAATTTATCGAACGTCAACATTTTAAAAGGTCTGCTCTACACCACACACGGTTAAGAGAATGAAAAGACAAGCCTCCAACTGGGAGCCATTATTCACAAAACACACAGAACAAACACGTGTACGTAGACGGCATCACAGAACTGCCAGGACCCTGTAAGCAAGCCAACAGCCCATAACAAATGAGCAAAGGAGCTGACAGCCACCTCACCAAAAAGATAGATAGATAGATAGATAGATAGATAGATAGATAGATAGATAGATAGATAGATATAGATAGATAATAGATAGATAGATGATAGATAGATAGATAGATGATAGATAGATATAGATAGATAATAGATAGATAGATGATAGATAGATGATAGATAATAGATGATAGATAGATAATAGATAGATGATAGATAGATAGATAGATAGATGATAGATAGATGATAGATAATAGACGGCGTGTTAAATACATGCACAAATGTGCACCACCGTTAATCCTCAGGGAGATGCAAATTAAATCGCCATGAAGTACCACTACTACATACCTAACAAAACGGCACACACACACACACACACACACACACACACACAAATACACAGATACATATATAAACCAGCGTGTGGGTGGGAGAGGAAAGTGTGCCGTCTTTGGGGGAGAACCATTTTGGGAAACCCATTACAAATGCAGGGGACGCTGTCTTCGAGGCAGTAACTGCGTCTGAGAACCAGTTCATTTCCATACGTCTCGGCAAAGACGTCCAGGGACGCCGCCTTAACAGGCCCGTGTGCGTGAATGTTTTATAGTCATTACGTCTTTGGAAAAGCAGGCAGGCGCGATTAGCCGGGAGCCGGCGAGAGCCGCGGAAGGCAGGGCTGGGGAAGGAAACATTTACTTTCTAATTTATACTCTCGTCGGCTGTGTGGTGTCTCTGGAATTGGTGCCATATGTTTGTGTTCCTCCCAGAATTAAAGACCCCAACAACTGAGGTGGATGCAAATTGACACACAGCGAGGCGGGCGGGATGGCTGGTCCGCATTCGGGGAGTCTACGTTCCGAAGGGAGACGTGGGACCATCTGGGTCCGGCTCCCCGTCCCAGGCAGCCTGGTGCCCGGATAAGTGAGATTGCATCTCGAAAAGCTGTGTTCTCTCTGTCTCCTGCCTCTGCCCGCCACCCCCCCACCGTGTTCCCAAGCCGGAGTCTCTACAGTGGGAATTAGAGTGTCAGACTTTATTCCCCACTCTTATTTCAGCTGCTTCTAACTTTTCAAAGAAAAAAGAAAGAAAAAACACCCTATTGTGTCTTTTTTGTTCTGTGTTTGTGGGGGATCAAGTGCCTAATGAAGTGTCTCCCCCCCCATCCTGATCCCCGTGTCTGGGCCTCGGGAGCCGGTGCTAGGACTGTTGCAGTAGCCTTCAGAACTGGTCTCTGAGACGCCAGTACTCCAACACGCCCCGCAGACCCGCCCGCCGTCCATGCGGCAGCCGAGGGAGCTGGCAGCAGCACGGTGACAGCTCCGGTTCCTCCCGGGCTCCCTCAATGCCTCCTCGTTCCCACCAGACCGGACCTTCTCTCCTTGGGATGACCCAGCCTCGTCCCTCCTCTCGAGCCCAGAGCGCATGCCCCCATCTATGGAAACCCTCAGCCACCACGTGCCTGGAGGCAAGGGGCAGCTCTCACCCGCTTCCCTTCTTTTTTAAAATATTTTTTTTATTGATTTCAGAAAGGAAGAGAGAGGGAGGGAGAGGGAGAGAGAAACATGAAGGATGAGAATCATCAATCAGCTTCCTCCTGCACGCCCCCTGCTGGGGATCTAGCCAGCCGGACCTCACAGACCCTCCTGGCGGGCTACTGACCGCCCTGTGCTCCCATCCGTGTGTACGGACTGAGGCCCACGTGCACCGTCCATGACACGCCTGGCCTCCCGACTGCTGTGTGAGCTGCGTGGGCAGGCGCCCGGGCAGGATTCACCTTCCCGCCTGCGGGGCCCAGTTCCACGCCTGGGAAGGGGTCGACGCTCTACAGACGCCTGCCTGACTGAATAAGGGGAGCCCCCCCACCCCCCGATGCTGCAGAAAACCCTGCTCTATGTGGACTCTGAGCTGCCTGGCGGTCATCCTGACGAGGGCCTCATGTTTCAGTCGCTGGGAACGCAGGCAGCCCCGACCAGCGGACTGTCTGTCATCACACAGGGCACGGTTTAGAGCAGGGGTTCCCAGCGTGGGGCACACGCCCCCCGGGGGGGGCAGTTTGATGTTTAAGGGGGGCCATTCGAGAATGCGTTATTCACAGTGGATGTTTTGCATTTCTTATGGTTCTAGGGGCCTCGCAGACAGTCTGTAGATACATACTGTGACATATTTATGCACTTCAGTTCTCTATTATGTCTGAAACTTTATTTGCTGTTCTTTCATCTCCCTTCACATTATTATTATTTAACAATTCCTTAGTGAGTTCTTCCTCACTCCGTCCGCTGTCCTTTCGTCCTTTTGTTTTTCTCTCTCATGGACGCCATGTTCTTTGGCAGCTTGTTTAGACCGAGTTCATGGCCTTTGAGGCTTCCTCCACGTGAACAGGTGTGCAGGAGGCAGCTGATCAACGATTCCCTCTCATCACTGATGTTTCTCTCTCTCTCCCTCTCCCTTCCTCTCTGAAATCAGTAAAAATATATTAAAATAAGTTAAAAAAAATTACATAGGTGCCGGGTGTACAGTTCTATAACACGTCCTCTGTCTGTTGTCCTGTGCGCTCACCGCTCCAAGCCAAGTCTCTCTCCATCACCAATTACCCCCATACACCCTACTCCACCCCCTCCCCAGGCGAGCACCACACTGTTGTCCCCGCCCATGCGTTTTTCCTCTATTTTTTCCCCTTTTTTGCTCAATCCCTCCACCTCCCCGCCCAGCCCCTGCCCCTGGACAGCTGACAGCCCGCTCTCTACCTATTTTGCTTGTTAGTTCATTTAGGTCATTAGAGTGAAATCATATGGCCCTTGTCTTTCTCTGACTGGCTTCCTGACCTCGTTTCACAGAATGGTCTGGGGAGCTGAGGTCAAGGGTCATCCTTTCCTGGATTCACTGAATAGTGTGGACACTCATGCATCTTGTTTATCAGGAAGGATTTCTGATCTTAAAAGAGAGCGGTGCTATGCACAGCCCATGGACACGGCAGGAGGGTAGTGAAGACCGACCCTAATGGGTGGGTGGGTGGAGGCTGGGAGGCGGGGGGACGCGGGGGGGGGGGAATTGGGAGGTATCTGTAATACTATGAACTATATTGAACTATATATATACACACATACACACACACACACACACACACACACACACACACCAAGATAAGATGGCGGTGCCCTTGCTGAGACCACCTGTGCATCATGGGCTCTTCTCCATGACGGCGGATGAAGGCTTGTTTACAGTCTCAGAAACACCCCTCGATCTCCAGACCCCCAGACCAGGGGTCCTCAAACTACGGCCCGCGGGCCACATGCAAATACAAATATTGTATTTGTTCCCGTTTTGTTTTTTTACTTCAAAATAAGATATGTGCAGTGTGCATAGGAATTTGTTCATAGTTGTTTTTTTTTAAACTATAGTCCGGCCCTCCACCGGTCTGAGGGACAGTGAACTGGCCCCCTGTGTAAAAAGTTTGAGGACCCCTGGTTGAGACCAAATGCCCGTCACTAACGCTTTGGGACGTTCCCGGATCTGATGCAATGAATTCACGGCCGTCCCACCTCCAGGCCAAGTTCCACTTGAGAAGTGACTCTGTAAGGTGAGATCTCACTCAGCTCCCAGAGGGTCCCTAAAAATAGCTTCACACATTCGTTACCAGCTTCCCTCTCCAGAAAGTGTTAACAACTCATTCTAGGAGAACCTTAACAAGCCCTTAACATTTGCTAACATTTCTCTCCATTAATCTTTCTAAAAATCTTCAATGTAAATAACAAGTATATTATCCATAATTCTTCATGTAGGAGAAATAATGTCACGGTATTTATCTATGTGCAGTAAGCAGTTTCCACCCTCTGGTCTAGTTACTATGGATTTCCTCAGCAGAACTGCCTTTTCTTCATCCTCTGAGTGCAACACCAGCAGCTAAGAATGGACGTACTTTTAAAAATATAAATATATATTTTCATTGATTTTAGAGAGAGAGACAGGGAGAGGGAGAAACATCAATGATGAGAGAGAATCACTGATCAGACCACATGCTTCCGAGTCCCGGATGCACAGGGTGCGGACTCACCCAAGAGGAACGGAGGAACCTGCCTGGGCCCTGGCCGGTAGCTCAGTAGGAACGACGAATCCACGTCTCTCTCTCTACGATCAATAAAAACGCGAGCAGAATGACCGCCAGAACCTGTCGGCACCGCGAGAAGCAACCTCTTGGGCGTATGGGATGAGGCCCAACCAACCGAGCCACACAAGCGGGTAACAGTAAGTGCCGGGGGCTAACCAGGGCGTGCAGAATGCCTGGGGGTTTAGAGCCTGGACGGAGTGATGGCTTTGACGCCACCAACCTCCTTCATGAAACAGGGAACATAGTGGTCGATTCCAATTCATACTTGAGACGTGTGTGTGGTTAAGCCATGAGGCTGTCCTAGGATCGGCCTGTTCTCTCACCATCAACTCCTGCTCTTTGGTGCCTCGAGGGCCGGCCAAAAGCCCCATTTGTAAAGTGAAATAAATGAATCTTCCTTAAAGGGCATGAGGCCCGAGGAGGCTCGGGAAAAGACCTGCCTTTCGGGGGTGGAGCAGGCGATTTCTCTGTTCCCATGGGAAGGGATTTCATGAGCGTTCACGACTGAGCTGGTGGGAATTCACACTCCGCATCTGTGTAGATGGAGACTGTGTGCATTCTGTAGATCTGGGACTCCTTTCTCACTTTTCAGAAGTTTATTTTTGTGCCTTTTTTGCCCAGCCGGGGTAACTCAGTGGTTGAGTGTTGACCTACGAACCAGGAGGTCACAGTTTCATTCCCAGGCAGGGCACATGCCCGGGTTGGGGGCGTGCAGGAGGCAGCCAATCAATGATTCTCTCTCATCATTGATGTTTCTATTTCTCTCCCTCTCCCTTTCTCTCTGAAAGCAATAAAAACATTTTTTTTAAAAAAAGATGTTTGCCACCAGCATATGTTTAAAATGGAATGAAATCAGTAGTATGACACAAGAAATCCTATAGCTGCTTCTGTCAGTCATAACAATCAACTGTTTAACAACTTCTTTTCTCTAAAGAAATGAATTAATACATCTGCAATATAATTTCAATAATTTCCAAAAATTACTCTTAAATTTCTTCCTTTGGACTTGAAACGATGTTTACACAAAATTTATTCAATCAGCATATTCAGAAATAATTTATTCCTTTTAGCTCCTTGTTGGAATACCATTAAGATGTGCATGCTAGCAGTTTAGATGTGAATTATGGAATGTATTTTTTTTGCCGTGTTTGGATAAAAAGATACCTGGGAAATAGTGAAGGATAAATTATTGCCTTAAAAGGAATAAATGACAGACATTACTGTGATCCCCGAGAAGAACGTAACCTCTTGTGAAGTCTAATAGGAGCTGGCATCATGTGCTAATATCGTGCTATTTACTAATTACACGCTGTTAGCGATGCATGTTTCTGATCTGCAGATGCACAGTGCTGCTATATTTATTTTATGGCACTTGAGATGCCAATCTATTTATAAAGGGACACTAAGGAATGCGTAAAACCAATGTTTCATTCAGTTTTTTAAAGGAAAACAGTGCCACGCAATGTAAGTGTGTAACAGGGCCGAGCTGCGGAGTGACTGCCTCTCAACTCCTCTGTTCTCTTGCCGTGGGCCCTGGGCATATGCCGTTCCTGTTGCCCAAAACACTGTTCCTACGTGCCTGCCCCCCCTCCCCCTGCCAGCCCCACTCTCTGTTCTATGTACAGGTATATACCCCCAAAATGGGAGGGAAGATGCAGGTGAGGTACCTAACCACCTCACTGCTAGCACTCGAGGGGTCCTCTGTGAGCTCTCCATAATTATGATCCCCCCTCCCCCATCACCCCGATTTTACGATAAATACTTCATGGGTTTTTTTTTATCATTTTACCCCTGGGCTTCCCTGTACACGTCACCCAATCCTGTCCACTGTGGGAACTGGAGGTGACGTGCAAGAATGGAAGTGGTACTGTGTGCCCTGGCTCCTTCCTCGGATACTGAAATCCATTCTTTAAAAAAAAACATTTTTATTGATTTTTTAGAGAGGAAGGGAGAGGGAGAGAGAGAAACATCAATGATGAGAGAGAATCATGGATCGGCTGCCTCCTGCACGCCCCACACTGGGGATCGAGCCCACAACCCAGGCCTGTGCCCTGACCGGGAATCGAACTGTGACCTCCTGGTTCCTAGGTTGTTGCTCAACCACTGAGCCACACAGGCAGGGCCTGAAACCCATTCTTGCCATCAAGCCTCGCTGCACTGCACTCATTTTTGTGTCTAATATTCCGATACATGGACAGACCACAATGCACTTACTTGGTTTTACTTGTGACAGACCTCCGGGACTCTGGCCTTGTTTCTGATTTCGAGCCCACCCACGGGAGAGTTCCTGCGCCATTTTCGCCTTATTTGTGTCCTTTTTTTCCTAAAAGAATGTTAGGCATTTTCCTAGCAAATATAATAAATGTTAAAAATAACACCATGTTAGGATGCTTGTTAGGTTGGGGGAAAGAGGGGCTTTCCAAGTATTACTCTGCACTTTTGTTATTGATTTATTTTTTTTAAGAGAGAGAGGAAGGGAGAGGGAGAGAAAGAGAGAAATATTGATGTGAGAATAAAACCAGGGAATGAGCCAGCAACCTGGGCATGTGCCCGGACAGGGAATTGAACCCCCAACCTTTCAGTGCATGGGACAACACCCAACCATTGAGCCACACCAGCCAGGGCTGTGTTCTGCATCTTTGTCAGAAGAAGAACTACTATGTGGTTGCTACTCTGGGCTCCTCCTGGCTTTGGAGGCGATCTGAGCCACAGTGCCCACGTGTTCTCTTTAGAGGTCACAGGCCCGAAGCAAAGTCCAGTCTCTCACACTCATTCTGTTTGTTCTTAACCTTCCTGACCCCCTAATGAGCTCCTTTGTGAATCAAAATAATAATCAGTCCGATCTTCATCATCCAGCTCGGCTGCAGGGAAGAATTCCAGCCGTCTGCAGAAGTCAGGAACTCCGGGCGGGAACTGGATGCTGCGAAGGGTTGGCTGAGCCCAGAGGCTGGCTCTGGGCCTTGGCGTCTGGGATCCGTGCCCGGAGCTGCAGATCGGCCCTCGGATGCACGGCGCTGGCTGGGAGGGGGGAGCTGGGAGGGGGGATGTGGGAGGGGGGAGCTGGGAGGCAGCCGCGCTGCCCCTGCAGGTTTCACAGCAGCAAAATTCACCTCCCCAGGGGCACCCTCGGCCTTGCCTCTGGACACTGGTGACCAGGCACCAGAAGCCGCTGTTGCCAAAGGCTAGCGTTTCAGCCCAAAATGCAGTGGGCACCCCTTCTCCGCCCCCCTCATTGGAATAATGTCAGTTCAGAACTCAGTCTGCACTATGGACCAGGAGGCCAGGGCACATGCCTGGGTTCCGGGCTGGATCCCCAGTGTGGGGTGTACAGGAGGCAGCCGATCAATGACTCTCTCATCATTGATTTCTCTCTCTCTCCCTTTCTCTCTGGAATCTCCCAGGCCCTGGCCGGTCAGACGGGGATCAATGCACCGATCGCAGCCACAAGGTCAACCTCAAGGGCAAGGCTGGGTCCAAGATAGAGAGTGTCCCTGGTCTGGGCGGTGGCCACGCACAGCAGATGCAGAGAACGCGGGGGATGGGGCGGGGGGGCGCCTGCCTGGGTGGGCCCAGCCCCGTGCTCATCCACATCTCTCCCTCCTGGGGGTACGAAACGCTGCCCCTCAAAACCTCTCTCACGACCTACCCTTCCTTGCAGACAACGCGAAATTCTGCACGAAGGGGAAGACGGCCATCAACGCCCACTGGACGGTGTGACACAGAGGAACAGCGAGAGTCTCAGATGTGAGCAATGAGCTCCCTCAAGCACCCTTCTCCCGCGCCGACGCCGGACGCAGACGAGCAGATGACACTAAGTGGGCAGTTAGGCAATCAGGCCCATTACGGCTCCACGGCAACTTCACGGAGAGGACGGTAAGTGGACGTGCGGGACAGAGAGGAGGAGGAGGAGAGGTTTCTCCATCGCGGCTGTCAATCACAGCGTCCCAGCCGCCCGGGGCCCACATTGCCACGTGCCTCTCACCTAGTGCCCTCGGCCCGAGACATGGCCCTCCGGCTCCTTCTACAACAGGAGACGCGGACCACATCTGCATCCCTGCGTGTGGCGGGAGTCTGCCCGGCACGGAGGCCACACTGGTGACCGCGACACAGGCTCTCCCAGGGCCCACGCGGCCGCAGCCCGCCCGGGTCAAGGGTCACGCGCATCAGAGTCCCTAATGCACAGGGCGCGGACTCACCCAAGAGGAACTGAGGAACCTGCCTGGGCCCAGGCCGGGTAGTGCAGTAGGAACGACAAATCCACATCTCTCTGCCGGTCCTCTCTCTGAAATCAGTAAAAACATATTAAGAAAATAGATAAAGAGGCAGCCGGTACCGAGAGAAGCCATCCTCACCCAGAGACGCAGCAGTATGGGCGCTGCTGCAGGGATGGGCACCTACCATCCCCCTGGGCCCCCTCAGGCACCCAGCACACCCTGTGCCTAGAAGGATCTTTATTTTATTAAGATAAAAATATTCCCACAACATAAATATATAAAATCAATAAAAACATTTAAGAAAAAATGAATGAACTTAGAAATCGATGCTGCAAGAACTCAGATTGTCAAAAGTATTGGGGGGGGGTGCCTGCCACGTGGGTACCGTGGGAACCGGGGTGGGAGGCCTTGCTCCCTCTGCAGGCACAGGGAGTGGGGTCCGCTGTGGATCGGGGAGGAGGGGGAGTCTCTAAGTGCAGGCCAGCTCCTGAGTAATGAAAGCCTGCTGCCTAGCCCTTCCCGGGATGTTTTTAACCCTGAATTCGTTTTTACCCCTTTCGTGGTAGCCATTTCAATGGGAGAAAGTCCTCTTCTGTGTCCTCTTATGACTTTCTGTGATATGTCCTGGAGAAAACAGCTCAAATACACGTCGCACCTGCCATATTTATGCTTAGAAAGGACCCCCGGTGACATTTCTGGAAGAGGTTGAAGCTACAATTCAATCAAGTATTTAATCTAGGTTTGGTATCAAACAAACAGCATTTTAAAAATAAAATAAAATGATTAGAATATCCTAGAAAACTCCATCAGACCTATTACAATGTAATCTGAAGCTGGAAAAAAGTATTGACAAATTTATAATCAGGCTTTAAAAAATCAAAAAAAGGACTAAATGCCATTTTAGGAAAAATGGTGAAAAACAGTAACAAGAACAAATACAGGAGATACAGAAATGTTAGGCCCTTGGTCATCCTAACAAGGGACGTATGCTTCTGGAAAAGCAAAAGCCACTACAAAGACCTAGTTCAAGAGGAAACGGCCGTGAAGGAACGGGGCCAGGCAGAGAGTGGAGGGCTCAGCGGTCCTTATGGACCTAATTCACAATGACCACCGTCCCATTCATCCCCGAAAGAATACGCTCCCTTTTCAAACACAGACGTCCGTTCCAAAACCACATTCTGAGCTGCAAAGACAATCACCATGTTTGATGTTTCCTTTCAAGGTACATAAGTGCTTGGCCTTTTAAATTGTTTCTTCTTGCATTGCTTTGTGAAAATAAATGTGGTTTAATAAGAAAGGAACTAAAAATAGAACTGCTTGGTCACTGCAGGGCTAGGGAACCCTGACGTGAGCCTGCAGGACCGAGTGCGACTGGTTTTCTAAGAGCTTCCTCCCCCCAACCTGCCAGCCCCTGACCTGGCCACACTTTTGCTTTTTGGCCCAAAGGCGGCTGGGAGCCAGTGAGGCCGACATTTCCCCCTAGAAGCTGCCCTGTTCCCAAGTTCTCACTCTGACCTTGCAAGCTGCCTCGTTAGAAACCCCTCTTACAGGCTGTGGATGCGTGTCTCCCAGGCAGTTTGTTTGTTTGTTTTTGTGGTTTTTTATTTGTTTGTTGTGTGGACAAAAGGGGGCCACATACTAACCTCAGAAACGCAGAGGAGGCCTGCGTGGAGGCCCTGGCAAACTCAGTCACCACAAAGGGTGGCCTGGAACTAAAACCTTCCAGTAGAAAGCAGTTCGTGGTGGGCAGTCACATCAAGATCAACTCCGATCCTCGCTGAGCCTGTTGTCTCTCTGCGTCCAGATAACAAACCTGCGGAACAGGGTGACTTACTGTTAGGTTGTTGTTGACTGTTGACGGCCCTGCACCCACGTATGTAAAAGGTGCATGTGTCCATCATTTCACTTTTTACCCAATCCCCGAGGTTCCCCTGCTCTGCTTTCTCCCGCCCCCTCATCTATCACCGGCGGGTTTCAGGGAACCAGGTCCCCCTCCTTTGGGGGTAATTTACAAAAATAGGTGGGAACCACTCTTCTCCCGAGCATTGTCCCAGCGCGGGGAGGTTCTGCTTCCCGGCAATGGTTGACAGTTTGGCTCAGATAAACTCACAAGAATTCTTTACGGGTTTGACTGATCCCTTATGTTTCGGTTTCCCCCCTGACATGAGTGTTAAAGAAGTGCAGGGCGTGGACTTCTCCTGTCACGGCTGTTTGGGTGTTTTGCTCTGGTTTCAATGTCAGGCCTCCCCACAAAAGACCTTAAGAGCAGTAGCCTCCCAAGGCCTCGGCCAGAGCGGGATGGGAAATCCGGTCTAAAAGGGTCACCGTGACGACCGAACCAGAGGCCGGGGCCGCTCACGGCTTCCTTTGCCCCGAACTCCCCGCGGGCCGAGGTCCGCAGGGCCCAGGCACCGAGCCCGCCCACCGCGGGCGGGACGGCGCGCAGCCGGGGGCGGGGTCAGGGCGGAAGGCGGAAGCAGACGCACTCGATTCAACTGGCTTACGCCGGGCCCAGCCCTTGTCGTCTCCCACATGGTCTAGCGGTTAGGATTCCTGGTTTTCACCCAGGCGGCCCGGGTTCGACTCCCGGTGTGGGAACGCCACAACGTTTTTTTCTTTCTTTTGGAATCAGGTATAAAAAATGCACGAGGCCCACGTACATTGTCTTTACCAAGAAGAACACTACATATAATTGCTGACGGTTGTTATTTCCTTCCTGGGGACGTGGAGCGACTCCCCACCCAGGAACGGTTTGTGTAATCAGTACTGATGTCTTTGCTCACCCTTTAATTTACGTCCATGACAGACGAAACGATTATAATTAATATTTAGTGGTCGAACTCTATTAAGGGGAGCACGCTTTCCCCAGCTTTATGGAGATATAATTGGCAGGGAAGCTTGTGAAAGGTGATGGTGTGCAACACGGTGTCTGATGGGCGTGCCTATTGCCCAGCGGCTGCCACAGCAGGTTAGCGAACACCTCCATCACCACACGGGAACTGCCATTTCTTTCAGAGAAAACGAGTTTAGGTCCAGCCAAGTCACTGCTGTCTCTGCCCCCACTCGGGGCTTCTGGCCCGAGGACAGAGAGACGGTGGAGAGGGAGAGAGCTGTTGTCCCACTTATTTATATACATTCATGGGTTGATTCTTGGATGTGCCCTGACCGGGGATCGAACCCCAGCGGGAGGACACTCCAACCTGAGCTACCCGGCCAGGGTGCCTGTGCATTTTTCATGTCAGTGCACCCCTAACATGAGGTGCACTATTAGTGAAGAACTCACACGCTGGGGGGTCTTCTTCTGGTGAGAGAAAGCTTACTAAGGGGAGTATATTTCATATACAGGGAACACACACACACACACAGAGGGGTGGGCAAAGGTAGGCTTACAGCTGTGAGCACAGGAAGCAGTTCATTCTTGTATCATTATTTATGAATTATAGTATTATTTTCCACATGAACAACTGTAACCTACTTTTGCCCACCCACATGTCATATACAGGGTGTCCCCCAAAAACGTATACACACTTTGAATACTCGCTCATTCCAATGGCTTAAATCTGAAAAGAATCATTGGAGTGAATAAGTATGCAAAGTGTGTATACGTCCGGGGGCGGAGGGGACACCCTACACATTGGTTTATGTAGATAGGTAATGTTCTATGTGACATGTGCATCGCCTGGACATGTACATACGTAACCCAGGAGAGCGGGTACGGTGCACACGCTGGTCACGTGACCGCGGGGACCCGCCACCAGGCACCTGCTCCCCCAGAGACGTCTCCCTCCGAGGACTCTGCGTTGGCTCATTAGCCCAACCCTGAACCAAGTCCTGCGGCCAGGTCCCCGACTTCCACGTTAACCTACTGTTCGGTCTTAACGCTCCTGACGGAGCTGCGTTCATTACAAGCAGGCGCTGCAAGGAGCCCGTCACTTCGAGGGTCATTTGTCACAATAAACCGGTGTTCTTTTCTTCCTGTCATTTTTAGAACTTTGGTTACCACAGCAACCCAGGGCAGCTTTTATACACAGGGTCACTTACGTGCAGTCGGTTTCTTTTATTTACTTGTTTATGTATTTTATTTTATTTTGTAATTTTTATTTTTTTTTTACCATCAGGAAGATGAGCTGTTTTTCTTCTTCCAACAAAGCTCACAATGTGGTGGAATAATCAGGCATAATGATAAGTTGGCCCACTGAGGAATATTACATGTTTAAATGAAAAATCATTATCTTACATCTGCATATTCAAATGCTCTGTTTAAAAAAAATAACGCCTCTAAGAAGAAGCGAGTGCCAATTTAATCTCCCAGGTACCGGCTCATTAGAAGTCGGTAGCCCTAGGATATAATTAGTATTCCATAAAAGAGCAGGCCAGGAAAAAGCAGCCGGGCTGGGGGCAATCCAGGCGTGCATTAGCAAGCAGCACTCGGCTGTCAGCTGCCCCACCCCCTCAGGGGTCCTGGGCTCTGACCCAGCCCAGGTCCTTTGGGGGGTTCTGTGCTCTCCACCCACACTTCCCTTTGCAGGGAGAGCAAAGCCATCCTGGGCCACACAGCTGGGGGAAGCAGCTTTCTGCAGGGCACAGAGGCATTCCAGAAGATTCCAAACCACCTGGCACAGGAAGAGACCGGGGAGGAAACACCACAGGCAGGGGCTGCGTCTGTCCACACGAGCTCTGAGAGCCAGCGAGCCTTTACATCAGCCCACCCTGCACCCACCGGCAGTTCTAACATCTCCCCAAAGCCCTTTACCGCCTCGTTCGTCCTGGCCCATTTTTTTCTAGGAGATTCCAGCATCTTTTCATTTTGCTTCACCTTCTAATTGCAAGCCCCTGGCCTGAACCAACCTGTTCTCCTTTGCCCCGTCCACGTGCTCCTGCGTAAAGCAGGCCAAGCCGACTCCTCCTGACTCCTCCTGATGCTCGCGCCCCGCCGCCTCTTGGCTTCCTTTGAAACCTCCGGAACTCTGAGGGCCTCCACACTGCTCAGCCAACAGGCCTAGGGCCTCCTTCCATTTCAGACCAACACATGCTTCTCGGGCCCTGCCGTGTGCCCAGGCTCTGGCGAGGCTCTGCGGAGAGAGAGACGAGCAAATTAAGGTGTCAGACTTAAGAACTTTTAAGTCTAGTTGAGGGAAACCCCATGCAGAAACCGATGGTTTCAGTATAGTTCAGTCAAAAGGAGATTTGACAGCTCAGGCGTAAGTAGAAACTCTATCTAAGATTATCTGGTCGCTCCAGGAGAAAATAATGCCTGAAATGCATCTTTAAAGATGAAAATAGGGAACCAAGCAGAGAGATGGCATGGACAGGGAGAGGCACGCAGCAACAGGCCGCCACAACAGATATTGCTGGAAAATAGAAAGAGAGCCTGGGGCCCCGGCCACTGTGGCCCAGTGGGTTGGGTGTCGCCTGGTACACCCAAAGGTTGCAGGTTCATTCCCGGTCAAGGGCACCTGCCCAGGTTGCGGGCTCGATCCCCAGTAGGAGGCATGCAGGAGGCAGCTGATCCATGTTACACTCTCCCTCTTTCTTCCTCTCGCTCTAAAAGAAAAACAATAAAAAGTTTGTAAAAAATAAAATACATTGAATTGAAAGATTTCCTGAGGCTTCTTATATTCTGACATCTGCCCCCACACATTTTCCTCTTTCTAATGTGTGTCAGGTACGCTATGATGGTGGGAGACGTGAAACAGTGAATTGTTAGGAGTCAACGGGCTTCCACGTATCAATCATTTTCTTGCAAAAGGCTACAGAGCCGAGAAGCATAAAGTTAGGGAATGCGGAGGGTTCTCTAACATCACACACACGTCTTTGTAGATCAATTACCCTTTTCCTGTATATAATACACATCAGTTTAAATAACACAGGAATTTTTTTTTAAGTTTTATTACTGGAAAGAAAATTTGGGAAAATATTGAGGAATATCACTCAGAGTGAATGTGGATAGCCCGGCCAGTGTGGCTCAGTGGTTGAGTGTCGACCTATGAACCAGGAGGTCAGTTTGATTTCTGGTCAGGACACATGCCTGGGTTGCTGTTTCGATGCTGGCGAGTGCAGGAGGCAGCTGATTAATGATTCTCTCTCATCACTCATCATTGATGTTTCTATTTCTCTCTCTCCCTTCCTCTCTGAAATCAATAAAATATATATAGTTAAAAAGTAAATGTGTATAAATCACTCCACTCTCAGATTGGTACAACCTGTTGGAAACGATGCTGATACTCTAGAGCAGCGGCCGCCAACCTTTCGGACCTCACGGACCACCAGCTGGCGACCGCTGCTCTCGTGTGGCCGGTGGAGACCACGGTTTGTGTGTCCATCACTCCCCTAACCTGCCCTGCAAATTGGAGCAAATCAAACCCTATGTTTCTTTTTTTTGTTTTTCTATTTTATTTTACTTTGGCTCTTATTTTTTAAATGATGTATATGGGAGAGCTTTTAATGTAATGAAAAAAAAATTTTTTTTACATAAATGGGAAAGTTGGTAGAGCTCTTGAGAAGGTAAATTATAACAATTAAAAAGATGATGAGAGCCGAAACCGGTTTGGCTCAGTGGATAGAGCGTCGGCCTGCGGACTGAAAAGTCCCAGGTTCGATTCCGGTCAAGGGCATGTACCTGGGTTGCGGGCACATCTCCAGTGGGAGATGTGCGGGAGGCAGCTGGTCGATGTTTCTCTCTCATCGATGTTTCTAACTCTCTATCCCTCTCCCTTCCTCTCTGTAAAAAATCAATAAAATATATTTAAAAAAAAAAAAAAAGATGATGAGATTCATGGGTGTCTAATCACGAGAGTACATCATAAATAACAGTGTCTTCCTTGTACATAATATCTTCCTGGTACTCCCAATCAGCCTGTCTCCTCGCTCTCATGTCACTATTTCTCTCTCTCTCCCTCCCTTCTTCCCTCTCTCTCTAAAAAAATCATGGACAGAAGAATCCTCGAGTGACGATTTCCACCAGGACTCAGCAGCAGATTGTAGTCTGCCAGCAAGACCTGAGCTTCTCTGGCCGAGCAGCCGTGGTATCTCCTGGGAACCTGTCACGGAACTGGAATGACAGGGATTCTCTTTTCCTTTAGAGAGAGGCCTCCAATTCAAAACAAATACAGGAAAACCTCAGTGGGGTATGCTTTGAAGTTCAAGGGCCGCTTCCTCGTCAGCTTACCGTGGGCAAACTACGGCCCGCGGGCCGCATCCGGCCCGTTTGAAATGAATAAAACTAAAAAAAAAAAAAAGACCGTACCCTTTTATGTAACGATGTTTACTTTGAATTTATATTAGTTCACACAAACACTCCATCCATGCTTTTGTTCCGGCCCTCCGGTCCAGTTTAAGAACCCATTGTGGCCCTCGAGTCAAAAAGTTTGCCCACCCC